GCTCGTCTCGGGGACGTCGTCTTTTCCTTGATAAACTTAGCAGGTTTTGCTTCTTTTCCCTCTTAGCTGGAACCTCCACCTGGGACGTCGCCGTCACGTCCTTCCCCTGCGTCGTCGAAGCGCCTTCGTCCCGAGCGGCGCGGGCAGTGCTTCCCAAACCGCAGTAGCCCGCTTGTCTCCCATGTAAGCCGATGTGACGTGAAGATCTACAGGGATCCCATCTGGTTAGGAAGCGCCGCTTCAACCCTGCCGTGACGGGTCACGCGTGTACGCCGTCACGTGCTCGCGGTGTTTCGTTGTCCGTCTTTGCCGTGCGGTCCGTAAAAGTCCTCCGGTGATTGTCACCGGTGCTTGTAAAAACAAAAAGAAATGCAAAACTCTGTAACTCGTGGTTCAGAAATGATACCTTTCATTCGACCGACTAAGCAATCGCGCCCCCCCCCCCCCCCCGCATAAGTCTTTTTCTGCCAGCTTTCGGGCACGCACCCTGCTTCCTCGGGCTCAGGGAAAATTCAAGATGGTAAAAAGTCCCCACGGGTAGGAAAGCAACTTCATTTTGCACGGAGGAAGCTGAAGGTGGGAGTCCGCTCCTCGGGGTGTCTTTGTGAGTTTCTCTTTGATGTGCAGATCAGGCAGGGATCCTTCCTTGGGGGTGTCACGTGGCAGAAAGGCAGGGAGGTGTAGAAATCTTTCTTATGTTCAGCAATGAAGCTTTACCTCCAAAATTGGCTAAAATTCGGCATCTTCCATGTAACATACATCCCTGTCAAACAAAATGGCTTTCAAATGGGATCATCTGATCTTGTGCCTGTTTTTAATTTAGTAGTACAAGGCTGCCGGGTCAAAATAATGATCCTACAGCTTTTTCAATTGATGAAGATGTGTTGCATTCTCATTGTAAAGGGGTTGTCGCTGCTGTCCATCCTTCGGAGGATGGATGCCTGTTTCCTGTTTGTGTGTTGGTCCTTTTTAGATGAAGTAATATCGTGGTACCAGGTGCTGAAAACCTTTTTCTGAAATTGAAGGTTTATTTCTAAATTCCAGAGGACTCCTTTATATCGACTGATGTGAAACATGATGTTCATACTGTGGCGTACGTGATACTGTAGTCAGGTTGTTGACTGATATTCCTTGGCTTTCATGGACCATAGTCAAAACAGAGGCCAGTTTCCCTAAGTCGGGCATTCAAAGGGGGATAGGTCCACAAAGGACTCGGGCATGTAAGTCGATATGCAGGCACCATCAGCGTTTGCAAAAAAATTTTTTAACCATGCAAGTGGCTAAAGTGTCTAGGACAAGCATAGCAGACAAGCACAAAAGTGCCTGTCTTGCTGTTGCCAAGCAGCTTGGTACCCCTGCGCAAAGAGAAACTAGGTGATTTCCCCGCTGATTTTTTTTTGTTTTCCTGCAGGGCCTGAACCATTAGACAAGCTCAGAGCTTACCTGTCTTGCCCAAACGTGTGCTGCTTCTTGTTCAATTGTCCAGTTGCGTCCAGTACTCCTATGAGAGCCAGACACCTTGTTTGAATCTTTGTGCCCAGCGTGAAGCTGGATCTAGACCTCTGCTTTTGCACAGGAGGAGGCTCTAACTGTAAATATTTGAGGATTCTCTTTTCACAGCTGTTCTGCTTTGCATAATGAATTAAACATTTGTTTGGCCAAGGAGAGAAAAAGTGAGTACAGCTTCATAGCGCAGTGGTTAGGAGCCGTCATGAGACATGTGGGAGACTTGGGCTCTGTGAGGGACTTCATATTCATGCATATGTAGTTGAGTAACTTCATTAGGAGATACTGAAAGAGTCTCACTCCAGAATACCGGATAACCTTGTGGTTAGGGTCATCGAATTTGAGAGAACTGGCACTGTATTGTCAGAATAGAATTTGAAAACTGAGCTCACATCTCTCAGGTGATTGTCCTATTTGGGAATGGGAGGTCTCTTGTATTTTTTGTAAGAAAGGGCTGACTTGGTACAAGCAGCTAACTCAGTGAGACAGTTCACAACTGAGACTCTTGCATTGAGATAGGTGCTTAACTGCCCTTGGCTTAGGTTCTGCCTGGTCCTAACCTTTCCATTGTTACCAGTTTGCCACACTGCTTGCTTGTTTCTGTGAATTTATTTTAGGTCTCTATCTTTCCCACATATAAGGTATGGGGAACCTTGCCATAACTCAGGGCTGTGAATTAGCGGGGGTGCGAATTGGGATGACTACCCCAGGCCCCACACTTTGGGGGGCCCCACAGAGCCAGGCTGGCTTCATGTCTGGCTGCTCTCCAGCATCTGGGCCCTGCACAGGCTGATTTGCCCAGGGCCCCACACCCTGCTAGGGTCGTCTCTGTTAAGGTGCTGTATATTACAACACCCAAATCCCTGTGTGGATTTAGCCCAAAGAAGAGTCTTTATCCTTGTTTCCAAATGACATTAATTTTAATATGGTTTTGTGCAATCAAACTCAGTTAGAACGAGAGCACTGCTAGATCAGATAGCCTCCTACTTCCTTTTTTCTTTTTTTTTTTTTTTTTTAAGTCTTGTCCTTAATACAAAAAATATATCCTCAACTCAAGGTAAAATCCTCCCCAAGAAAGGAAGCTTATGTTTTTTTCACCCACGTGAAAAATTCAGGTTACCCTGCAGGGGAGTTTAGTCTCTAACTTGAGCTGTTTACTTATATGAAAATGCTAAGCTGCCATTTTCTTCATGAGTGTTAGCAACACCGAGTCTCCCCTGTGAAGACAAGGGCAAAGGAGGCTGTAGACTTTTCACTTCCTTCCCTTCCCTTCCCAAACAGTTTTCATGTCCTGCATTGGGGAATTGCATAAAATAGCACAGCTGTCCCGTTCCTGTTACTCAGACAGTTGCTGTACTTAGGACATGCAGCTGTGATCTTTACTTTGCTCAATAACCCTTTCCTTACCCTGGCTCATCTTGCCAAGCAGGTGCTTAGGTCAGTTTCTTTACATATCTCAAAGGCCACGGAGATTTGAGCTGTCAGCATTTGCATGGGAAACCAGACCTGCAGCCTTGTGTTGTTAACTCTTTTACCCTTTAAGTAAAATAATGAAGGTTTGGAGTGGAGTGGGTATAGTTTAAAACCTTGTCTTTCATCTGGCCCTTGGGAGCATAGTGGCTGGAGAAAAAGGAGATTTTCATACCCCAACATATGGGCTGGGGTAGGCAGGGGTTAGCTTAGCTTCTTCCTTTTGCACTCATGTTACTGGTCAAGGAGAATAATAAGAAAAAGGACTGTTAACGTTTCATCTTAAGTTTTAAGACTTTTTCTTTCTGTGCTCAGTGTTCTAGAACTATGACATAGTGTGGGGTTTATTTTGACAAGGGAAGGGTAAAAGGAGTATGAGAAGTCGGGTATCCTTTAAAGAAAACCCCAATATTTATGGTTTTCACATAATGAGATTTTTTTTTTTTTTCGTAGAACATTGACCATAATTAAGCCTCACATTGGACTGTCAGGTAGCTGTAGTCATAGGTCTTGCAAGAAATAAGGCCTTTTTATATTGATCAACAGCAAAAGAAACGAATCTAAGAATTTAACAGCGGGCTTTGATTTTTGGTTTCTTTTTTCTTGTTTGCTTTTTCCTTTTATTATTTGTTATTTCTCCAAATTTCATGTCAAAGATTTGCTTGTTATAGTTGTCTGTTGTGATTCTAGTAGCATTAACTCAGCCACACTGTACATTCTGTATATTCTATATATGTTAATAACATAATAAAGTTTTAAGTTTTATATTTTAAAGGAGAGGAATTTAAGAGAATTGAGGATTTTGAAAATGCCAGTATATCTGTTCTCTTGAGGAGGAAATCCAGGACTCCTTGAAGTCAAAGGCAAATTTATGTTGACTTTCAGTGAGATAAGGATTTTACTCAGAGTCTCTTAGTACCTGCATGATAAAGACACCCAAATCTACTGGTTCACAAACTGTAGTCCATGCCTTATCAGTGGCGTACAAAAAGCTTGTTGGTTTCTACTAAGATCTAATTGGTCATATGGCGTAAACACTCTTCATTTGCATCTGCTAAATCACACTAAAAGGTATCATAGTTTCATAGTTTCAGGGTCGGAAGGGACCTAATAGATCTTCTAGCCCGACCCCCCGCCAGGGCGGGAGAACAACCCAAAAACACAAACAAAACCACTCACCCTAAAAACAAAAACGGGACTCAAATGAGTCCAGCCAGGTAAGTATCCAGCCTCTTCTTAAAGATCCCCAGGGTAGGGGCCAGCACCACCTCCCTTGGAAGTTGGTTCCAGCTCCTAGCCGCCCTGACTGTGAAGTAGTTTTTTATCTAGTAGTAGTTTATCAGAAGTACACTGAATATTTTCCAGCTATTTTTTTCCGTTTAAGAGATGCTTTAGTTGCTACATAGCTATTACATAGCTGAGCAATGGAAGTTGGCTAGTTGAAGGTGGTCAACACAGTGGTGAAGGTGGTCGAGACAGTACTTCCTTAATCTGTGGTTGGTCCATACTGTAAAAGAGGCGGGCAACCTACGGCTTAGGGACAGATATGGCCCACAGAGCCATTTGATGTGGCCCACAGATGTGGGGCTTCAGCAGCAGTTGATATCCCCTCTTGCTGCAGGCAAAAGCACCCGGGTGTGGGGAGGCTTTCCTCTTGTTGCCACATGGGAAAAGTGGCAGTGACAGCTGAGTCCAAGCACCTGGCTGCCCGCCTCTGACCCAAACTGGGCCACTCCACCTCTCAGCCTAAAAAGCCTGCCAACCACTGCTATAAAATATTTGATGACTATTGTTTTAATTTGCCTTTTCTCTCTTTGTCCAGACTCAAATTTCTTTGCATTATTAACTCTTCATGAATTTCAGCTGCCTCTTAACTGCAAATGAAACTTTCCTCACAAACTGTTTCCCCCACTCTCCCTTACCACACCATTTCTCAATCACTTGGCAATATAACTATCTTCCACCTCATTCAGTCTTGGGAGTTTTGGAGTTATTTCTTTTTTTTCTTCTTCCGTCATCCAGGCTAGTGCCAGATCTTACAGCTCCTCTCTCTAACATTTCTGAAGTCCACTGGCTCCTCTTTGTCATATTGCCAAAACCCGTGTTCATGCCAGACTTCTATTTTGGCTGGATTACTGCTACCTTCTCCTTCAATTTCACTTCTGTCCAGCATTCAACAAAATTAAACGTTCTGTTGATCATCTTGAGTTCCTTTGCTGAGGACTCTTTCCTTCTACACGCATTTCACACACACCAAGTGCAGTTTTAGCTCTTGTTTTGTCTTGTTTCCCTTTCTCCCTGTTTTGTCTTTTCTTACTGCTTTCCAACTTGCCACCCGCTCAGCTTTTCTTGTCTTTCATTCTGCTATTGACTTCCTCATCTGTGTTGCTGGCTTTTGAAAGACGCATACAAATGTTAATGTTTACCAAATATTACAGGAAGTAATGTACTCTCATACAACATAGAATAACATAATAGCCATAGCTTTAGGTTTTATATTCTCCCTTTAAAGGTCACTGGTTGAATCGCAGTTCCATGTAATGAACAGTCCATTTATATTTGGCAGTTTGTCTATCTCTACCTAGCAATAAGTTAAAATAGTGCAAAAAACCCTGAAGATTAAAATAATTTAATACCGTGTGTATTGGAAAATACTGATGCACAGAATATATCGAAAATGTTTTAACACTTTTGTTGAGAATTGCTTGTTTAGCTAATTGTTCAATATCTCTTTGTGTTTAAAGATCTTGAAAACTGTACCAGGTCCTTGGGGGGAAAAAACTACATGACACTGCATCATGAGTGAGAATAAATGTGATAGTCAATTTTACAGTGTTCAAGTCGCAGACTCAACTTTCACTGTACTAAAACGTTACCAGCAATTGAAGCCCATAGGATCTGGGGCTCAGGGCATTGTTTGGTGAGTAATACATGCTTTGTTTTAACATAAATCACTTTAAGAACTGCACATATAATGCTTAATTGTAATGCTTTTATCTCTTGCTACAGAATTGTGAACCAAATAGGTTCTCCAATGCCTGTTTGTTGTCATTTCTAATATGGAATTGTGATTTTTAGGAAACCAAACTAAATTTTTAGATATTTTCATAAGTTAAATGGGCAGCAGATTTCCTTCTCATTACCATTTGGTTTTAATTTCTAGTTGTTACATTCCATATGTGGTTATGAAGTTACCGCGTAAGGGTATAATGGTGAGATGGTGAGAGAGATTCTGGGTTTTACTTGTTTCTTCAGCATGGTTCCCTGTTTCCTTCTCCCCTTTATTCCCAATCAGTCCTGTTCATTTCTAGGAGCCATCAGTGCAGTGCCTTGCCATTAACTGGCAGGCTGAGGCAAATCAATGTCACTGTCACTCTATGGGTAAATTAGAAAGGGCTGCTATGTGAGGGGTTGGGCTGGCTGGCTGTCTGTACCTTGCTATGTTACCTCAAATTTGTGTCCAGCCTCCACTGGCCCAGGACATGAGAATCATTAGTCTGATCTTGAACCTTATTCTCTTGTATGACTCCACAGCTCTGGGCCAGCTAAAGATAAAACTTTTCAAATGTTTAATAGGCTGCCACTATCTGTTCCACCCAGGTTACCTTTCAACCCCATCTGTTTTTGAGCAAAGCTTGCTTGGTACCAGGAGGCATCTCTAGGCACTCTAGCCCTGACTTTATAGCCATGGTTTCTTAAGGCTGTAATACTTCAAACCCTACCTGCATTTTTGTGCTTTTACAATTCAAATAGTGTTTTATTTAGTATCTTGTATTTTCAATTTTTCAACTGCTGTGGATATCACTGCAGTTATTTCATGAAATAAGCCATTGCCCAGCTGTTGATAGGCTGTAAGTCAGAGAAATTAGAGGAAAAATCCCTCTTTTTCCTTGAAAATAGCATGTTAAATGTAGGGTGTATGAAGTCACTAGATATTAGTGTTTAGGAAAGCTTGGTATATTATTATAACTCTTTCTGACAATACAGTTCCGATTTGATTTCTTTTCTATTAGTACCAGATGGCATGTGGGAATTTCAGATGGCCATGATTCCCCTCCTCCTTCTAGAAATGGTGCATTTTTGATCTGCTCCACTTCCCTGCTGTTTCAAACCAGACTGCTTCCTCAAGGTCAAGTCAGTGATGAGGTCAAGCTGTAGGGAGAGACAAGGAATGATCTGACTTAATGATTTGTCCTGAGTATACTTGATTTAAGGAGCAGCTGAGTATCAATTAGAGGTGTACTGTATCTCAGCATCTTCTGAAACCTCTAAATACTAGCTACAAATTAAAGAAACTAAAATTACAGTGAAACAAAAATTTGCCCAAATCAGCATTTATAATTTTCGAGAGAGAACAAATAAATGTCAGTCTCAAACTGGAAGATAGCAGCTCCCATAAAACAATTTTACTTTTTTTCTAATCTTTTCAACATTTTAATAATAATGATAATTACGATGTTAATCTTAGAAAGACCTTTCATAGCGTATCAAAATCCAGTCTAGTTGTGAAACTTGTGTAGGGTTATGCTGATGCAAAATCCATTTCTTAAACTACAAGTAACATTAAGTTCATCAGTCTTTCAGAAAATATGAAGTGGAGCACTGTGAGTTTCCCAAAATTTAATAGGAATCACTGTTAACTTTGTTCCATTTTCCCTTTTGGTTGAAATTAAAATACATAAGAGTAATGTATTTGTCCTGAGGTCCATTGATGTTTGCTGGTAGGAGGATCCTGGTTCTTCAGTGCCTGTAATACAAAACAAAGATTGGAACAGGCTCAAAAGTCTCAGTATCTTCGGAGAGCCTTTTTGCTTTTCTGCACAGCCTTAAGTAAGGAGATTGGTTACGTGTCCCTGTACTTTATTTTAGATAGCATAAAATTTCCCCACTGGGGTTCCTTTCCTTTTTTGCCTCTTGACTTAGTGTATTTGAGCTTCTGGGCTGTGTGCATGCACACACACATGTATACATGTGACTGAATTACCAGATTCTTTATATCTCCTTGAATTTCTTTGAGACCCTTTTCTCTCTTCTCCCCAAATGGCTCTTTCTCTGCACTTCCTGATTTTTCTCTCCTAGCCTGGACCCTGACTTTCCCTGTCCCAATTTGTTCTGTACCCCCAAATATTCCTGTATCAATCCCCTTCAGAGAGAGCAAGAGAGCACACATGATCTGGAATATCCTACTTTAATCTGTTCGGGAGATGTTGTAGATTGTTAATGGCTGTACTTGAGCAAGCTGTTCAAAATAATTATTCTATGTTTTTCAAAACAGAATAGACACCTTAAGAATTTAAATTTAGTTCTCTAAAATTAAATTGTCTGTGGGAGCAAAGTAATTTGCTTTTGAAGAAACACTTAACTGAGAATCATCCCTAGGCATGTAATGTAAAAAGTATATTGTATATAGTAACCTTCACAGACTAGTTGAGAGCAAAGAAACAACACCAGATTAATCATAAGGGTGGAAATTCTACATTTCATAAAGAAACAATTGAGAAGAGCTATGCTTGCCGAATAGTAATCAGAGCAACACAGTAGTAAATTACTTTGTGTTGTTGGCTCTGCAGTTGACCTTCAGGATTTCGTGAGACTTCTTGGAAATGTTTGTTGTTTTTTTTTTTGAGAGGGAAGTGTCAGCGTGAAATTGTCAATGTTCAAATTAATTGTTGTGCACAAAATTTCCAAAAATTATATGAAACGAATCTGACTATTAAAGAAGTAACTTATAAATAGCTAGTGAGAAGATAAGTAAGAGCAGGCAGGAAGCTAAACCCTTGGATTTTTAAAACATGTATGTGTGTTATACAGGGGCAGAAACTGTTATTTTGAATGTTTTATATATCAGATTGAATTCCGTAAAAGTCTGCGTAAATTTTGCTCAATACCACACTTTAAAGTTAATGCACTTCCTACTGTAACTGATTTAAAAAAAAATATTAGAAAAGAATTATCTTTCACCTGGTACTACAAGAGTATTCCTGATCTGCAGAACATGGTCTGATTTACTAAACAAGCAACGGAAAATGTGGGATTTTATTGCAGTGCTGGTGCCCTAACTGCCTTTCATGTAGATTAACGTTGTGAACAACACAGATAAATGTGTAACCTTAATCCTGTGTAAGACAACTTTTATCTGATATTGAATGATAGACATAAGCTTTTCATTAATTTGGAAGAAAATTTACTTGGAGGTGTTTGGATTAATAGCAGAGTGGTAAGGGAAATCAAACGAGTAAAATAAATCCACTTTTAATAATGTTTTTATGTGTAGCAGTTTTCATTTCTTCTAAGATACGCATCACTTTTTCCTGTTGACAATTCCTTTGAAATCAGGTACTTGAATTCGGGGACACAGGAAAGGGAAAATACATTTTGCACAGTGGTCTTAGAGGTTATGTAATGAAATTTTCTTATTAGGAACACATTCCAAATTATCTAGCATTTGAAAATGAACACTAGATTATAATAGGCATTGTGGCCTTGCAGCTTTGTTTCTTTTTAATATTGAAGTTCTTGATTTTTCTCTGTATCACACTCAAGTTCAAATATTCTTTTAGGTTGGTTAATTATAAAATCTTTGATCCGTTTCCTTCTGCAGTCTGTATACTTTTATTTCTCTTAGGCTGTGATGGCAGCAGGCACAACTTGATTTTCTAATATGACGTCAAGGCTACTTCTCTTCAGTTTCACAGGCAGGGAATGAGCTACAGGCTCGCTACGGAGTCACTTCCCTCCTTGAGAGATTTTGCTTTACATTTGCCAAATGATTTCTGAATAAAGCAGTGCCGCTAGGTCAGCCTCACAGTTTGTGGTAGAATTTGAGAATCGGTAACACCATTTCATTCTAGTGCATTTTCTGTTAAAAAATTTTGGACATTTTGTAGTAATTCAAAATGCAGGTCAAAGAGCTGACATGGATAGAACTTTCCACTTACTATTTTATGGTCTCTTGTTCAGGTAAATATGAATAAATATCAAAAATGTAAAGTTTTGTACTAGAAGTAGTAGGTTTAAACCATCTGTTGAATTGCCTTGCTCCCACTTCATATTCTATTTTGTATAGGTATTCAAGCTTTGATTCTATGAATGGCTGAAATGACCTGATAATGATGACTTTGCACAGATCAGTTCTATAAATATGTCACTTTATATAAACGCTGAGATGGGTTAAGTAGGCTGTAGGCATAGAAACAGGGCAATCATGCTGTGTTTTTACCTTATTTCCTCTTGTAAGAGAAGCCTGTTGTAATTTCATTTTTGCTCTTCAGTAATGTTGTTCCTCTTTATAGGGGAAGCCATGACTTCACATAAGCAGAGCACATATTATTTTATTTCAAAGTACTGATGCAACCTCTTAGAAGATAGTACTGTACAGGAATACAGTGCTGTTATGACATTCTTAAGCATACTGCTGGGTGTACTCTGAGAAAGAAAGCCCATCTCCCAACAGCTTTGAACATACCTATATTCTTATTTCCACCACTAAGTAAACAGTCAAAGTAGAGCTTGAATGATATTGCACTCTTCTGAGTGAGAGAATCGGAACTGCTGCCTGGGTTTGCAGTATACGGCTATTCTTTATGAATAACACCTGTGCATTAATACTCAGTTTCTTCACTGTTTAGTCTGATCATGAATATAGGCAGCTGCAGCTGAGAATTAGATACTTGTGGCTCTTGGAAACAAACCTCCTCTGCAAAATGTGCTTATAAAATGGAGGCTAGGAAGGAACAGAAGTCACAAAGAAGTAAAAGTTTTTTGCTAAATATAATTGCTAGTTCGAGGCCATAATTGGAAACCTCTCTTCCCAAAATGTGTGAATTCTTCCTAAAATGTGTGAATCTTTTTATTTATTAAATCTGTAATTCAGTTGGCTCCTCCAAGAGAATAATGTAATGAGAGACTTAAGAACAATGAACATAGTTGGTGACCTGTGTTATACATGTATTTATCATACCTTCCAAGTTTCAAAAACCACCCTTATGCTTCCAATGGCACTCTTACAGAGATCTCACTTTTGGGGGCATGAAGCAGTGAGGCACTCGAGCTCTAGACTGAAGTGGAGACTTTAGAGACTTGTAGTTAATAATTGCATTAGAAAGGGACCTGCCGTGGAAGTAGTGTCAACAGCACTATGTGAGAGACTCATTTATCTCAAATTAAGCAACCAGGAATATTTTTGTTTCCAGAAAGGTTGCCTTAACTTGGAGGTGGGTAGTTAGCTGTGTTAGCCTGAAGTTAGGCAGAAGGCAGTGCAGTTGGGCACATAAAGACTTCATTAGGGACGTTTGGGGTCGGACTCGACAATCTGCTGAGGTCCCTTCCAACCTAAACATCTATGAATCTATGGGCTGTCATAGGGCATAGGGTCTGGACTGTGAGACTCCTCCTAGGTTGGATCCATAGGGTAGCAACAACAGCAGCAAATTTAGCGATGGTGGTGGCATGAGTCCAGTGGTCACAGGGCCAAACAGCTGCAGTGGGGCAAGCAGGTCTGTGTCACAGCTCTTGCTCACCCCCACCCCTCTGCCATGGGCTATATCCAGCTGAGTCCAGGACCCCCAAGCTCTGGAGCAGGTCACATGGCCAACTTCTAGTACCCCAGCAGACTGGATACAGTGACTCCGCAGGCCATATATTTGACACCCCTAGTCTATAAGCTGCCACACTACCATATCTTCTGCTTAACTTAATTTTGACTAACACTTTAGGGCAGTAAGTGTTTGGGCTTGGACAAGGGGTGTGGGGAGCTTTTGTTTTACATTTATCCCTGTCTAAGAATGTGCAGACTCTTTTCAGTTGTCTTTGTCTGAACAAAAATTAAAATAAATGAATGTCTGCAGCTTTGTGGATGTGCATGACTTCAGACCTTGATTTCTTTCTTCCCCAAAAGTCTTCAACTTAAATTAACTCTCTCAATTTTCAGTGCTGCATTCGATACAGTCCTTGGGATAAATGTTGCTGTTAAGAAGCTGAGTCGTCCTTTTCAGAATCAAACACATGCAAAAAGAGCTTACAGAGAGCTTGTTCTTTTAAAATGTGTCAATCACAAAAATGTAAGTCATTTTTCCTAAGAATGTAATTATTTTCCATATAATGCTCTTACTAGAAATAAGTAAGGGTGAGTCAAAGTAATCCAAATAATGGACAAAGGTGGTTGCGTCAGAATCGTTGAATTGGTATAGGTAGCATAGTCCTTTATAAATGAGAACTTTGACATTTCTCAGAATGAAACAGTAGGCTGTAATATTTAAGCACAATATATGTTTAAGTTTGTACACGTGGCTTTTTTTCATGTACTGAGTTGGAGGGGCCAAGGTGGAAGGAATATTTTGCAACAGTATAGTTTAAACTAGCATAATCCATCAGTATAGTCACTGGACCAGCATAAAATTGGACTTATTCCACTATGTTTTATCTCAGTAAGTCGCATTGTTTTGCACTGGTTCAGGTTCAATCAGATTAGTACTCTCCCTTTTGGCTAAGATCATATGTAACCATGTCAAAATGTCTATTTTATTGCCTTCCCTATTTCAGTTTGTTTAAAAAAGAGAACTGGAGCCAAGAGCAAACTGACAAGAATTGTAGCTTGCTTAGAGGCAAATATAGTGTCTTGTGAAAAGTTACTACACAACTGCTAAGTTTTGTGAATGTTATGAAAAATACATCACATGTAGAAGTTAAAATGACCTAGAAACACTTGCTGGTTAAGACTTAGATTCAAAGCCTTCTAGGGTTGATGAGAATTTTAAAATTGACTTTGAGTAATTTTTCTTGTAGTAGTAATTAAAGGATTACAATAATGTTAAGGAAAGTTTCCAGAAACCTAGCTGTAGACAGAGATGTATCCGACCAATCTGTGTGCTGTTTAGAAGCCTTTGTTCTAAAGATTAAAAAAAAATGCATATAATTCACACAGACTATTGAGTGACACACACAAGGAGGTTGCTTTTCTCAGAAAAGAAAGATTTTTGGTTTGCCTGTGGAGAAAGAAATGCATCTATGCCTTCTAGTGCCTTATTTTAAATGTACAAGTTCAATGTTGTTCTTCAGCACTGCTGCTGTGTTGTGCTAATATATGTGAGCTGAGAAGTCAAGCACATTAATAACCGAACTTCAGCAGTGAAACTAGCTTCTGAGTGACAAGTAATTGACAGTGTAAGCAGTTTCTGAAATCAAAAATGAATGCATTTGACTTCATATTCAAGTGATGTTGTGGCTTGCTTCTTACCTTTTAAGCATTTAATCTATGTAAATATTAATAAATTAATTTTTTCCACTTTTTGTCTGTCTTTGTAGATAATTAGTTTATTAAATGTATTTACACCACAGAAGTCACTAGAAGAATTTCAAGATGTGTAAGTATCAAGGGATTAAAATACGATAAAGTATGGCATGAATTAGTCATAGTTTGCATTTTAACCCTTTGCACCCCAAGAAAGTTTATGGTATTGGGGTCATAATTTGGCTCATAATAAGACTGCACTAAAAGGGTGCATTAAGATGAGCGCACACCGCACATGCAGGTGTTCCCTATGGGTGGGGGTTGGCGTGGTTCTGACACTGGGAGATCCCAGTGTCAGAAAACCCTGCACCTTAAAAAAAAAAACTGGGTGGAGCATGTGGTGTCAGCATGCACTGCCCAGAACCAGAAACTGGCCAGCCAGAGCCATGCTCCGACTTCCAAGTAGGCTGTGTGCTGTTGGATTGCTATGGCTGCAGCCCCTGGAGGCCCCCCAGGTAAGACTGCTGGGACCAACCCAGGTGCTAGCTCCAGCCTCCGCCACCCCACCCAGGGTAACGTGACATGCACCAGAACACACATGCACCAGTGTTTCTCAGGGACAAGCAGCCTGCCGCACATTGTGCCACTGCTGTTTGTCCCTGGGGAAACGCACGTTCTCACTTGTGGGGCCGTGCCCAGATTGTCTACAGTTCCCATAATTACCCCTTGTCTCTTAGCCAGTAACTCAATATGGATAACCTGACATCCTTTTCTGAGATGAAGCCCACAATAACTGCAGCATCAAATACAACCTGAATATATTTCTTAACTTAGATCTTTTATGTGGCAGTAGGACCTATTAATTCAAGTATTCATGGGGCTGCAATCTTAGTCTTGATGATAAAAAAGAACAGCACTTTAACCTGAAAATGAATTATTACTTTTTATTCTATAACATGGTTTCCATAGTTTTGTTAAGTTAGGATACAGTAAAAAGAAATCTCACATTGATACACTTCACTGTATTCTCTCCTTGTGTGCAATTTCTGTGTAAATTTAGTTTGATTTTAGGTTCCATCAAGACAAGCAACGTAAACTAGCAGTTTCTTTATGCGTTGTGTTTGGCACAATTGATGGTTATATCAGAGTTGTACTTTTCTTCCTCTTTTTTTTCTTAAACAAATTACCAAAAATAATTTTAAATTATTTTCAAACTTTAAATAATGTATACCATTCGATATTTTTACCTTTATCAGCATTCTGACACTCATTACATCAGTGACTTGCATGATCTCTTCTTTAAACCTGTTCTGATGCTAGGTATAAAATCCTTGACGTGAAAAATTTTTTTTTGATTCCCTACATTATAGGTATTTGGTTATGGAGCTGATGGATGCCAACTTGTGTCAAGTTATTCATATGGAATTGGACCATGAAAGAATGTCCTACCTTCTGTACCAGATGCTGTGTGGTATCAAGCACCTCCATTCAGCTGGTATCATCCACAGAGTAGGTAGTGTTACGACACTGATATTAATAACATCTATCTTAAAGGTAGTATTTATCTGAAATGTGTTCACTATTATCTTGCGAGTTGGTGTTCTGTTTCTATATATATTAGTTCAAGGATAAACAGTCATGTTACAAACAAATCCTTCAAAAAAGCAAATTAGATCTGCAGATGATAAAATAGTTTTAAAACTGTTAAATGAAATGACTGACACCAGACTAAGAAAAAGACTAAAGATTGTATTAATATGAGAGAGAAAAACTGAGCTTAAAAGTATGAAAGGTAAACTCTGTAATGACAGAATAAGGAATAGCTTGTTTTAAAAATTCTTTTAATTGTACACCACAGCAATATTTATATTTAAAGTAAAATCCATAAACGGTCCCTATGATATTGCAACCCTTCACAGGCTCTCTGTGCTTCTGTTTCTGTTGTCCTGTTTGCTGTGCCCAGTTTACATAACCAGTACTGCTCCCTTTTTGAGTTCGTTTTCCCACTCTTGCATTTTAATTTCTTCCATATGACCAGGGTGTCTGGAACCTCTTCCATGTCCTAATGTGACATGCTTTTTCTCATCCTTCAAGTGCTTAAAACACAGGAAAGCTTATCAACTCTAAAACGGTCACCTCCTTAACTTGCTGAAAAGATCTGGGATGAAAATGTGATAGTAAGGTAGACTACAGTAATAGTACTACATCCAAGCATTCCAGCTGCTTCCAAGCTTTCTTACAGCTGCGGGGTACTCTTATTTTCCAAAGGTCTGTTAGACTCGGTGAGCTGTGACAAGGTACTGGTGATGACCCTTTAGTTATTGTTCCTTGCAAGGGAGAGGCTGTCTTGTTTCAAAACATCTGATTATTCGGGATAGTATATTTCCTTTGTTATAAAGGTTGATGTCCTATATGGTCTTACAATAACTATTTGAGGTTACTTTCTTTTACAAGATGGTATCTATCTAGTATTATCAGTACTGGTGTGCAAACGGTTGTTAGCGGTAAACTTGTTCACTGAAACAAATAAAAGGTCTAATTCTCTGATTTCTGACAGCAAACAAATTTGCCAGACTTGGTTTTTATTCATATTTTGTTTTGTGTGTCATAAAGACTTCGTAACCGCAGTAATATTGTGTTTAAAGTATCTGTTGGCTGTAATCTGTAAATAATTTAGCTATAAAAGGTTGCAGGCATGGCCAAGTATATATTTTAATATAAGCCGTTAATGTGAAATGCTGTGATGATGACTCATATAGATTTAAGGGAAAGATGCATGCTATCTTTTAGTTTATTGGACATTACAGCTAACCAAAATAACTTTCGTTTAGGATTTGAAACCCAGCAATATAGTAGTCAAATCTGACTGTACCCTGAAAATCCTTGATTTTGGATTGGCAAGAACAGCATGTACTAATTTTATGATGACACCATATGTAGTAACACGGTATTACAGAGCACCGGAGGTTATCCTTGGCATGGGATATAAAGAGAATGGTAAGTTACAAGACTGAAATATTAAATGCTTTACCTAGAGTGAAGCTTTCTCAGACTAATTTCTTTAGACTATAATTAATCTTTGATCTGTAATGTTACTGTCATGGAAATAGTGAAATATACAGAGTTAGTCACTGGAAGAATAGCATTTGTCTTGTTCTTTGTGCCTGTGCCTCGCCATTTTGTCTTCTTTTTTATTGCTTCTCTTTCTATTCTTATTTATGCTCATTCATGGTCCTATCTCCTTCATTCCTATTACCATTATTCCACCTGTAGAAAATGCATTGTTTACAAAACAATCATACTTAAAGATTTAAAAAAATTAACAGAACCAATGTGTGAAATGATTAACCCACAATGCTAACTTACTTTTATAAAGTGTTTTCTCTTCTGCATGTATCCTCTTCTCTTCGTAGTGTCATTTTTCATAAAGTCTTTTAAATTTCTCTAGCCTAGGCAACATTGTATACCATCCTAGGTCTTTTTCTGGGTATTTGATTATTAATACTATTATTAATTTTAATAAATGCGTCTGAGATATCTTAAACATCAAACAACAAAGCAGTTGTTAAGGAAAATATCCTTTAATTGCATTTCCCCTTCACAACTGACTGTCAGGCAGTAAGACCCAGCATCTTGCTTGGGACCTTCAGCCCAATGCATCCTTTTACTTTTCCAGCTTTAGAGTAGATTTAACATTCTATGGCTACGGGCTGGGGTTTGGGGAGGGCAAATCTTGAAGATGTACGTCTTTGGGAATGTAACACACGAGGTCCATAGAATTTCTTGAGTCGGCAGTATTGAAGGGTTGTGCATCGCGCATAATGCCTTGGTAGTGTAGTAAGTGTTGATGTGGCTCAAAAATATTTAATATACCTATAGTGGAGTCTGTCCTAAATGGGACAGGAAAGTGTAGAGTAATACGCGAATCTAAAAGACTAAATGTGCAGTGTAAATTTTACAAATTAAAAATCTATCTGTGGCTTTTAAAAAAAAAAAATCTTTAATCTTTTGTCCTTGCTGCACCTAACATGATAGTGGATATCTGGTCTGTTGGGTGCATTATGGCAGAAATGGTCCTCCATAAGGTCCTGTTCCCAGGAAGAGATTGTATCCTTCTTCACAGTGGTTTTACCGATTGTAAAATCCAATAAGTATTTTGAAGTACTTTAAAAGTACTAATTAGAACTTTGAGAAAAAACAGGGCTGGTGTTCATACTGTCGATTACAGTCATGTCTTGTTAGCAGTTTGGTTGTCCACCTTCTTGTGTTTTATTGTAGATGCTAGAATTTCTTTCGTTAAGTTTTCCACTTTTGTTCATGACACTTCATAATTTGATCATTTCATTTTTACTTTCAGTTGATATCTGGTCAGTTGGGTGCATCATGGGAGAATTGGTGAAAGGTTGTGTGATATTCCAAGGCACTGATCGTATCCTTCCCTAGTCATATTTGAACCCCATTTACACATCCACCAAAGACACACAATTATTACCATCTGTTTATATATACAAGTGCGTAAAACTAGAAAACAAAATATTTTCTTACATGTTTTTGAATGCATCTACTGTAATGTTTGAAATTAGTGTCATTAACCGAATCACTGAACTTCCATTTTTTTCTCCTATTTACTTGACCGCCTTTTAACTTAATCCTTACTGCTTGATCACTTGCTTATCAATATAAGAACTTCATATTTTGTAGCTGTAAAGGATATTGATAGGTTAAAAAGCAAATTCCCTTGGCAGGGCTCCTAATAGTTAAATTATTAGAGCTGAAAGCTTAAAAAATATTGTTAACAATTTTTCCTGTTTTGCTTTTTTGCATTTTTCTGTTTGCATAATGAAAATAAGTTTATTCTCAACTGTTTCAGTTTGTAGTTAAGTTTTTTCCTGGTTCTTGTGTACCAGCATGTTGCAGTGCTACAGTGTTTTTGCTTACAGTCACTGCAGGAGGTAATATATATATATTTTAAAAGAAAAGGCCTTTCATTTTAAAATTTTATGGAAACGTTTCTGAGTCTTTTTTTTCTTTTAAAAAAAATGTTCTTTAAAATTTGGCTTTTTTGCTTCAAAATTTACCATTTTAGCATGAAATTGGAATTCTAGAGGATTGGGTTGACTAGCATATATCTTTGTATAATTCATTAAAAATAACAAAATATTCTGGTTAAGTGGATGAAGCTTATTTCACATAGATACATTGTGCATATATTTTAGTAAAGTAACTTATCTATTTCAAAACATTAAAAAAAAATAAAGCTTAAAAACAGTGTATTTATTTCCAAGTTTATATTATAAAAATTGAACAGGAGACTACATTCTCTCCATTTTAATTGTTCTCACAATGTAATAGTAAAAAATGAAAGAGCTTGTGGACTGTAGATTTGAAATCATTAAATAATTTGTCCTTTGTGGGGTTTTTTAGTTTTATAGGTTAGATTTTATAAAAGTATATCCTCTATTACATCTGTAGGCAATACCAGAATTTTAATCTGAATGCTAAATTTCATGACACTAATCTTCAGCAGTTGACCATGTTAATTTAACATCACAAAATATTAATATGAAATTAGTTCTTTGTTTTTCACTTCTTCTTCCTTTGTATATTTATTATTTTATCTTCCAAAGCCTTCAGACCAACCTAACACAATTCTTCATGTATGTTCTGTGTCTTTTCACTTGCATGCTTCAGTGGCTGTGCTGATTGCTGTCTTGATTTATTCATTAATAAATCAAGGGATTTTTTTTCATACTTGTTAAATAAGTATTAGGTAAAAATGATTTACCTAAGGGAATAAAGCTCCACCAGTCTAGATCTGAAACGCTGTATGCTATCTAGCTGTGTTGTAGTGGGAGATGGCAGCTGTGGCCTAAGGAGCAGACGCACAATGCGCAGCCTATGTTGGTGTAACTTGAGTCCAGTATAAAATTACCCTGTGAAAAATTAGGTGAAACTGCACTGGCTTAAGTTACACTGGTGTAAGTGTTGTGTGCTCAGCTATTCTGTGATAACCTGTTTCTGTCTAGCAAATGACTATTACCTGCTTCCTCCCCACCTAACAATGAGATCCTGTATTAGCACCAGTGGTGAGCATGTATCTCCAGATAACTGTTTGTGCACGTTCTTCAGATATGTGGGTAATTTACACTGATGTATAAAACCATTATATGTGGGCATTTGTACACATGCTTGTGCTGCAGCGCCAGGAGCTTCTCATGCAGTTTTTTTAAGTGGCAAAATGCACGCCAGCATGCAGAAAATGGCAGCGGAGCACTTTTAAACTAAAACACATGGAAGGTGTTTTAGTCCAAAAATGTACCACTGCCATTTTCTGCGCGCTGATGTGCGTTTGGCTGCTCATACAACTGCATGTGATGCAGTGGAGTGCGCGTCAGCTCACATGCAGAGTAGACTCGATTAATTGAGTGTGCTCTGACATGCTGGAGATAGTGTCAAAGCATGAAAATGTATGTATAATGCCCAGTGTGTCTCCAGCTATGTATGTATGTATATTATAAATGCCCAGTGTGTCTCCAGGTCTTAAGATTTCCATGATTGGGCTCTGTTGTTAGTTGTCTAATGCTAGCCATTTCCACTAGAATTTCCAGTGTCTGTTGTCTGCTCAGGCAGATTTTTATTTTCTTTTGTTTGTTCATTTGTTCTATGTAAAATGTTTTTTTAGTTTCTGAGAATGGGGTAGAAGGAACAGCAGGTGAATTTTCTTTGTTAAACACTTACAACTACTCCGTTGAGAACCTCTTTACCTTACAGCAGGGACTTGGACATTGGCAGAGGGAGTCACCCTAATGGCACAAGTGGGCCTTTGACTCTCCGCCTCAGAGTCCAACCATTTCTGCATAGTTTCAAGCCTTAGAACATAGTTTCGCACCTGTTCAGGTAGAAATTAATAGATTTAATAGATTTTAGGGTCGGATGGGACCTGTTAGATCATCAAGTCCAACCCCCTGCCCTAAGCAGGAAATTCCTGAGAGGCTCAGCAGTATTTTCTAAAGGTCCTGCTTGTGCTAAGCATGCTTTTAGCTCCCAACAGCGACTTGCTGGCCAGACTCAGTGTGCTCTTTCCCAGGGTTGTAGGGGCTAAGTAAGGTTTTCCCATTACTTGCTTTCCCAGCTGCTAACGGTTCCTGTCGTGCCACCCCAGAACTGAGAGTAGGAAGACTCGCTGCTGTGATGTCCATTATCTCGCTGCTCACTTAGCAAAGGGCATTGGGAAGCAGCCTACCTCAGATGTAGAAAGCAGAGTGGTGAGAAATAGAGGAGGGGATGAGGATCAGAAGCCTACGTGTCTTATAGGAAGTCATCATAACTCGGTGTAAATATAACGGGGCTCGGGTGTACTTCTGTAAGTTGGGTTTTTTTTTTTTTTAATGCGTCTGAAAACTGAAGTGAGAGACAGTCTGCTAGGCAGTATCCAACACACATTTTATTAATTTTGGGCTCCCTCCCAGTCTGGGTTTCAGATGTTATAAGGCATAGCTTCATTAAACCCACGTTTTTAGAGGCCCAAACCTTATACCATAGAATATTTTCATACTTTAAGCATTGGCAGGGTACTTCTAGAGAAATCTCGTTCAGATACTCTGATCTTCTACTGCTCTTTATTAAATTAGGGTGGGTCACTACATTTTCCCTCTAATGTTTGACTAAAGATAGGGGAGCGAAGTTGCTGAGAGCAGGGCCTGGGTGTGAAGTTTTGTTCAGCTGTTTTTGTCAAACTGGCAGTGGTCACAAGGAGAAATAACTTTTTGAATCTAGAGTGGTGCAGACTCTTCTTGAATTGAGTTTTCCAAGTAGGAAAGAAAAATGCCTTCTGTGTATTCAGCAGTTTTCTTTTTGTCCATTTCTGTAGCATGAGTCTAATTTTTCCAAATTTGTTTGCTGTGTTTTGATGTCATTTTTTTTTATTTGGATGCATTTGAACAAAGAAATATAAAGTTTAATCTACTAGAATGATCTTTGTATTAGTGTGGAAATTTTGAATACATGTTCATGCATGTCACAGATTATAAAATTCTTACAGCTTTTGCAGACTAAATGTTTAAGCACTTCTATTAACAATTCTAAATTAAATATATATGCAAAGTCCTGCCACTTGTTTATTGAGCTGTATTCTCCAGCCATTGATATGACAGAAAGCAAGCAACTAAAAAATCCAAAATAAAAGTGAACGCTTGCAAAGTTGGTGATTAGAAAGGTGTAGTGCTGCAATGGAATCACAAATTCTTCTAGTCTAGAAAATGAATAGGTATTCTGACAAAGAGTATTTCTTTTCCTTTATTATATTTTACATACTTTGAGTACTGTGATACAGAATGTACTTGCTGTCCAAACGGCTTTAGCTACATGTCTCTTTTCTTAGGATGGACTGAAGTTTCAAGAACTGCTTCTATTATTTTTGTTGGTAGAAATAATAGAAGAATAATCTAGTTATGATGCTTCTTTTCAGAAGTTTCTAAACCTTATTACACAGTGTGTAATAAGACTCTTGATGGATCCACATTACCTAATCTATACATGCCTTGCTTGTGCAGAGAGGACCAGATGCTTAAATTATTTTAATCTTTTTCTGCAATTTAAATATGTAGAGGGATCATGGGAATTCCTAGCTTAATCCAGTATCATACTGGTTTTCCTGCCTACTCCCTAGGCATCCCGATTATACAGCAGCCAATAGAAGTGAACATGCTTAAACAAAGTGCTTTTAAAGTCAGACAAATTAGCATTGACAGAGGATATTCACAGGTGTCATTTAAGTTGCGAAGCAGGGAAAATTGGTTAAGGTACCTCAGCTAGCACAGGTATTGTTCAGTACAGACTAACCCTTAGATCAGGGGTTTTCAATCTTTTTTAAGGAGTGTATGCCTTCTGGTGGATACCCCATTCCAGATTGGGGGCAGGATGGAGGTGGGGTGCTGATGGCCAGCCAGATGTGAAGCCGGTAGCACAGGGAAGCAGTGACGATGCGGAGTGATGAATGGCAGGGGGTGGGGAGCTCACACGCGGCCACTGCTGCCATTTACCACTGCACCGCCACTGCGTGCTGCGTCCCTGCGCCACCGAGCGTACCCCCTGGGGCCGTCCCAGGTACCCCTAGGGGTACGTGTACCTGCAGTTGACAACCCTTGCCTTAGATAGTGTGGGGGGACAGTTGTGAAACTGCATCAGACATTATGTCCAATTTGTAATTATTAAGCATAATTCTAGTGACCTAACGTTTGAACTCTTAATAATTACAATAAAAGAATATAGTCCATGTTCTTTGCTATTATTTGAATAGCTCTATTAAAAAAATACACACTTTAAACCTGATGTTCTATAGAAAATGCAGATCGACCATTTTGGAAACTACTATGACATGTTTGAGTTGGGTCTTCCTTATGTTTTCATAGGGAAACTGTGGGCGTTTTTACACATGCTCCTGGGATGGGCAGGGGTGCTTTAATTAGGGTGACTCCAAGAGCTGCTCTAACTCAAGTGCCTGGAGTGTCTTGTGTATCAGCATCCCTGCGCTTCCAAATGGTGGTGGAGGCACTTGAACTAAAACTCGTAGAATGAGCTTTAGTTCAAGTGCCCCCACCCCTCATTTTGGTGATACATGAGATACAGAGGTTGGCTGAAGTGTGGTTATTACCACGCTCCAGTGGACTTGACTAACCAGGTGTGCTGTGACATGCTGTAATTACAATGCATCAGAGCAGCATCCCTGCTCTTGTGCTACAGGCACCCTATTTTCTGATGAGAATTCATTGAGAAGCATTTAAGCAGAAAAGAAGTGGCATAAAATTCTTACCTCCTGTAGTTTAGTTGCATATTCCTACCTGTTATTAAGCATCCATGTGGGGTATTCTGTAGTGTATGTCCAGAAGATTAAATCCCAGTCCTTTTTCTCTCATACTAGTTTCCATTCAACAAAGTCCTACTTCTAGAGACATTTATCTCTAGTTAAAGACTTATGCAGGATCCAACAGGAGTTTGTCTAATACCCCTTTTAAAATTGGCTAACAACAATTACAGAGCAGTAGAGAGTAAAACTTCACACATTGTGCAGCAGTTCTAGTCCTTCCTAATACTAGGGTCAGAAGTCTGATTTTAGATATCAGATCGGCTCTTCGCACGACAGCTCAATGCTGGTGCCGAGAGAACAAAAACGCTAATCCACGTTTGGCTGTTACATTTCAATTTTTCATTACGTTCATTTAATATACACAAATACGTTGCTGCCTGTTTTTGTGGTCTATTATGTGGTACAGATTTGAAATATTTCAGAGAATTTTCCTAAAGATACCCTGCAGATATTGATCAGTGGAATAAAGTTATTGAACAGCTAGGAACACCATCAGCAGAATTCATGAAGAAACTACAGCCTACTGTAAGGAATTATGTAGAAAACAGGCCGAAATATCCAGGTATCAAATTTGAAGAGCTCTTCCCAGATTGGATATTTCCATCAGAATCTGACCGTGACAAATTAAAAAGTAAGTTGTTTTTGTCTTTCTAAATTGGTTCACTTAAAGTATATACCATTTAGCCATGCAATATAAATGTGATAATGCAGTGTTTTGATACTGTCACCTTTGCATTGTATTATGAGGCAGGAAATGAAAAGTAGCATCTTTGTGATACAAGTGCAGGACATGACACTGCAAAGTATCTTACTGCCACTATTAAAATATATCTTATTAAATGCATACATTCTTTTCTGTTCCCCAAATTCCAGTTTATTCTCAAAATTGTAGGCTGAGATACTGTTGATGGTTTAAATGTTCACAGAAAAAACACCTGTTTGTAAAAGACATTTTACAATGAAAACCTCTGGTTGATACTGATATGTGTAGGTTGATTAAACTAGATCTAAATTACTGTTAATGCACTTATATCTTGCATCAGCAACTTGGTGACTTGAAATTTGTGCATATGTTTTCAAAGTCCATGTTGTTAAACATCTGGAATAGTTAGGAACTCAAAACTTGGTTTAATGACATAAAACCATATTGACATGTATGCTACAACTGTCCATGGTCAACTTCACTTCAGTGAACAGTCTCTTTAGATGTAAGACCCCAGTTTGCAAAAGGGCATCTAATTCAACATGAATGATACCTTCTTCAAAATGAGTTGAAACTTATTTTAGTATCATATCAGCTGTGGCCCAGTGCCGCAGTAGAATGTCATATAGAAGTCCTTTCCCAGATTAGAGGTTGGGCATGTGGTTTGAATGACTTGGAAATTTTTATTAAATATAAAACATAATGCTTTTAATCATAAGAAATAAGTGACAAGATAGGAAATGTTTTCCTCTCGGGGTTTCTCTTAACAGACTTAATGCTTTTGTTAGGACAGCAAAATGCATCAGTTTACCAGCTACTTCATTCTGATGTGTGCTAATCACACAAGTTACAAGAGACCTGTTTAATCTGGATGCATCGTGAGACTGATTCTTATACCTTAGCATTTTAGCCTCTGAAGCTTTTATTTGCTTTCTCCCTCTTCTTTTCCAGCAAGTCAAGCTAGAGATTTATTATCCAAAATGCTGGTGGTAGACCCTGACAAACGAATTTCTGTAGATGAAGCCTTACGTCATCCATATATCACAGTTTGGTATGACCCAGCTGAAGCAGAAGCAGTAAGTATACACGTTTAGACTTCACTTAAAATATCACTTCAGCGATTGAGGCTATAATTTGTGTCTTGAGTTTGGTCAGTAGCAGGCTCTGAATTTTCCATTTTCCAAGCTAGCAAAGATTACACATGTAATTGTAAGAGAAATGGCAGCGCTAATTGCCCCACCACTGGTAAATAGCTAAGAAGTGGCACTGCTGTTGGTTTGAATACATCCACTGTTGTTAATTTAACTGCAGAGATATAGCTGGTAGGGCTGTGCGAAGCTTCAGTCCCTGATTTGATTTGGTGGAGATTCGGCCTTATTTGGTGACCGAATATCCAAATCTGAATCGAATCAGGAGACCGTTTAATCTCTCTGAATTGAATTGGAGCCCTCCGAATTGATTCAGACATAGACACAGCTTTAAATGTTTTTTCTACGTACCTCAGGGTACCAGGCAACTCATGAATGCTGCAATGTTGGGACCGATGGAGCGTCCCACAGGAGTGCGGGGGGCTTCCCAGCGCACTTGGCAGCAGATCTGGAAATGGACCAGAAGCACTTCTGGGTCTACCAGGGAGCACGCAGGCCCCCCCCCC